CAGAATGAAAATAATAATAATAATAATAATAATAATAATAATAATAATAATAATAATAATAATAATAATAATAATAATAATAATAATACAAAAAAAAGGCCCTGCGGGACCTATTACATTTCCGCAGGGCCTGGAAAACGGAGCTGTTCCACCAGACCTTTGGTTGAGGTGGCGGGTGCCCCATTACTAGGCCTCCCTTGCTGAAGCTCTCCAACTGTATACAGCCCATATTAATAAATCTCCACTGTCATTCGGTTTATAGCCTAGTAGCCTCCAGCCATTTGGGATGGTTGTACTTTCCTATTTTATTGTGCGACCTATTTTTAATTGTTTTAATTATTTATTACTATAACTGTTTTAATGGTTTTGTAATATTATTGTTGTGACCACCCTGAACCTGCTTGCGGGGAGGGCAGGATACATATTGAAATAAGTAAATAAATGACCTGGCAACAATGTTTCATGCAATGGTCACCTCGAGATTATATTATTGTAATGCTCTCTACATGGGGCTGCCCTTGTCCCAAATCCGGAAGCTACAGGTGGCGCAGAATGCGGCGACCAGGCTGTTGTTGGGCCTCACCATATGGGAACACATCCAGCCTGCGCTAAAAGCTCTGCACTGGCTGCCTATAGCATACCAAATTCAGTTCAAGGTGCTGGTTCTTATCTTTAAAGCCCTATATGGTCAGGGATCTTCATACCTAAGGGACCACCTTTCCCCACATGTTACCCAGAGCACTACAACTGGGGTCCCAAAATCGTCTGGCTCTGTTGGGCCCCAGAGAAGCCAGGCTGGCTGTGATGAGGGCCAGGGCCTTCTCAGTGGCAGCTCCACATTGGTGGAATGAGCTCCTGGAAGACATCAGGGCCCTTAGGGACCTTTTACAGTTCCGTAGGACCTGCAAGACAGAGCTCTTCCACCAGGCCTTTGACTAAGGAGCCACAAAAGGAGTCTTTTTCATAAGTGCAAACACTTCTCTCTTATCTTGCCTACCATCCTTCCCCATTTCATTTACTAAAATTATTTAAACTGAGGGGCAAGGGTTAATAGGAATGTATAAAATTAGAATCACAGAATTAAATGGTGAAATGGGCCTCAAGACCATCCACTCCAACCCCCTGCACTGTGCAGGATGACCTAAACCATCCTGACAAATAACTGTCCAATCTCTGCTTAAACACCTCCAAGGAGGGAGAACCCACAATAGCCCTTGACAAATGATTCCACTACTGAACTGCCCTTATTGTTAAAAAGGTTTTCCTAGTATCTTGCCGATATTTCCCCATAATGTAAGCCCATTATTACGTGTCCTATCCTCCACTACCAACTGAAACAGTGCCCTACCCTCCTTTAAATGACAGCCCTTCAAATACTTTTAAAAAGTAATTGCATCCCCCCCCCCCCCCCCCAACGTCCTCTCCTCCAGGCAGAACATTCCCAGTTCTCACAGCCTTTCATCATAAGGCTTAGACCATTTCCGCACTAGTGAAATTCCTTGCACTGACGTTTTAAAAACTGTGTATTATGTGAAATTTTCTGCAATAGATTTCTCCTCACCAGGCGCAAACCCGAAGTTTTCTCCTTCTTACCCTGCATTGCACTTTTGGAACTTGCTAAAACTGGGGATTCTGAAAATGTGGGGAAAGAAGAAACATTTGGGTTTGGGCCTGGTAAGGAAAAATCTACTGCAGAAAATGTCACATAACGTGCAGTTTTAAAAACATCAACGTGGGGAATTTCACTACTGTAGAAATGCTCTTAGTCTACAAACCCCTAAATCATCCTCAGCATTCTCCTCTGCACCTGTTCTAATGCTTCTATGTCCTTCTTATAAAAAGGCCTCCAGAACAGGACACAATACTCCAGATGGGGTCTAACCAGTGCAGTATACAGTAGTACTACCACATCTCGTGTCCTAGACACTATACACCTGTTGATACACCCTAAGATAGAATTTGCCTTCTTTGCTGCTGCATCACACTGGCTGCTCATATTCAATTTGCGGTCCACCAAAACCCCAAGATCCGTTCACACATGCTACTGCCTAGAAGAGTATCCCCCATCCTGTATGTGTGCATGGTGCTGAAAAACTGAACACAGAGAGCGCTTTCACCATTCCTATGGTTTTTTAAAAATTTTTTTTAATAATTGCAGGCATTTAATGGAGACTTTTAGGGAATAAGGCAGTCCAGACTAACAGAATGTTTGTGCTTAAACTGCTCTTTATCTGAGGCAGCAAAGGCCATCCAGGTTTTGTTCTCTAAGAAGCAATTCACAGATGGTGAGAGCCAGTTTGGTGCAGTGGTTAAGTGTGCAGACTCTAATCTGGGAGAACCAGGTACGATTCCCCACTCCTCCACTTGCACCTGCTGATGTGACCTTGGGTCAGTCACAAGCTCTGGCACAGCTGTTCCTGAAAGAGCAGTTTGTGTCAGAGTTCTCTCAGCCCCACCCATCTCACAGGGTGTCTGTTGTGGGGAGGGGAAGGGAAAGGACTTTGTAAGCCACTCTGAGACTCCAAGTGAAGGGCGGGGTATAAATCCAATCTCTTCTCCTTCTATAATTCACAGGCACCCAAAAAAGGTGTCTCACTAGGCATTTATGTCAGCCTTGGAAGTTCTAAGAGGAAGACAGCATTTACAAACAGGATTATTCTCATATTAATTGAGATCTTGACTGCCATTGCCAGATTTAAAAAGCAAGAGGGGAGGACTGTTTATTAGTTTGATTGGATACAAAACAAATTAATCCCCCTTGTGAATGCCCCTTAAAATTTTTCATTCAAGGAATAATAAATGTGCAGCATTCACTGCCACAGGATGTGGCCGTGACTGCTAGTTTAGTTGGCTTCAAAAGAGCAGATTTGGACAGGTTAACGGAGGATAGGTCCCTCAATGGCTATTAGTTATGATAACTACATGGAATATCAGTGCTAGGCAGCAAGACCAGGGGAAGGCTTTAGCATCCATACTCTGCTTATAGGCCCTCCGAAGGCACGTTGTGTGAAAAAGAGATGCTGGACTAGATGAACCATTGGTCTGAACTAATACAGCTCCTCTTGTTCTTAATTACACAAGTAGAAGCAACAAACTAGACCAACAAATAAAATATGTTCCGGCACTAACCTTTACAACAGGAATTTCACTTGTAGGCACAGTCTCAACTGGAACGTAGCATGTGTAACAGTAGAACATCCTTGAACTATTACATTTGGGACACTTTGATCGCCCTTGTTTTTGGGCTCTTTCAAGAACTGCCTGAGAAGCCAAATGCAAGTTTTGAAGCGGGGTTTCTTGCAGCATGGATGTAGTCGGTGAATCTGGACTTTTTGGACATTCAGTTTTTCTTTTTGTTCCTTGCTGGCTATCTTGGTCTCCTTTTAAAACCACAGATGTATATAAAGACATCTTAAGTTCAGGTAAGGTCCTGGACCTGTACGGAGAAATATCAGAACTTTCAAATAGTATCCAAAACGCCACAAATCTTACTGATTAGGTCCATTTCAAAATCAACTGCTGTCATGATGTGTTTTTGAATTCATGGTCCTTTTGAAGACTGCAGCTTAACAGAACCAAGGATTTCATACATTCTTTCAGTAATTTGCTTCCTGTACACTACCTCAGAACATGTTACACAACATTTTGTACTTTTCCTTCTCTCGTTTTATAAGCAAAATGTCAAAGTAAATTTTTTTAAAGCTCCAAGCTCTGCTTATTTATTTTCTACACTGTGTTTTAGGGTCTTCAGTACTGAAGGGTTACATACACGTTACATATACGACATGATCACCACAGGGACTTGCAGCGGGGATGCCAGCTGTGTGTTCACTGTGGGAACTCTATTTAGAAGCACTGCGGGGGCCCTGTTCCGAACAAGGCTGCGGTACTGGGGGAGAAGGAGCTGCCCAAAGTCCTTAAGAGGCCATTTGGCAGGACAGAACATTTTAGAAGAGAAATAAATACAGGCAAACTAGCATGCAAACTAGCATACATACATATATTTATCTGGAGTGGCAGATACAAAATTAGAGATAAGAGCAAGCTTATTTAGCTTCCAAATGTTTGAGAAAATTCACATAGTCCTACAAATACAAAACTCAAAGGAGTTATGAGGTGATTATCTAATTTTTTGCTGTGAACGCTGCCCATGGAATATTTTCTAAGTTAAGTTCATTTCCTTTGCCAACTCTGTGGTTAACATTTGTAATACTGCCCGATGCAGTGGTGCTTATTAGAGGAAGTGATATTAAGAAAGTGATAAAAGAATTTGCTAGACATCAGAAAGCTTGGAGCTGTTATTTTTACTCAGCTGAAGAAGGTTTGGAACTGTTACTTCTACTCACTAAATCGGCCGGTGTTGTTTTCGTGTAACTGACCTCACTTCCCAACTGCAAGGTTAGCTCTTTGTACCCCGGAATGTCTCAGAATTTTCTCAGTTTACTCTGGAAAGCTTGAGGTGGGGGCAAAGAAAGCTTGTTGGGTTTTAGTCTAACCATCCAACCACACAGATTCCTTTGTGAAAAACGGAGAGCAGGAAGCTCTCTAATTTGTTATGCATTCCCAAACCTAAAACCCAATTCTTTTTACTATAATGACTTGTGGCAGCACAGCACTCAGTCCCAGAGTTCTGTTGTTATTGACACAGACAAACAAAATGCTGCTGGCAGAGCAAGTGAGACACTTCCGTGGTTGCCAGGTGATAAACCTGCAATCAAATTTAGAGTCCAGTGGCGCCTTTAAGACCAACAAAGGTTTATTCAAGGTATGAGCTTTAAAGGTGCCACTGGACTCTAAATTTGTTCTACTGCTTCAGACCAACACAGCTGACCACCTGCAAACAAAGTTCACCAAACAAGAAATGTCTCAGGAGCTGTACAAGTGACACAACCAAACAGCTTCTGTTAAGTATGGAGCAAAAATATTCAGGTGACTTGCAATTAACTAGACTTCCGTTAATCCTATGCATCCTGGGAGAAAGCCATATCAGTTAACCAAACCCAGGTTGGGGATGTAGCTCTTGTTTAGGGTTGAGGACCGAGTGCTGCCCATCAGTTTTTCAGATGGCCTCTGTGAACATATGAATCTGCCTCCTATTGCATCAAAAGAAGAAAGATACCTGTGTGAATACCCAAAAAACTGAGTAATAAACCCAATACAAAGTATAATCACATATAGAGAATGTCTGAAGTAGAAAAGTAATCTCTTGATGTACCAAACAATGTCAACAAGTAGAAAAGTTCTCTCTTGAGGTGAAGATGTATGAAGAAAAATAAACGAAGGATCCGGATATTGAGAACTCCGTTTCGAAGAACGTCTTCAGTAACTGAAACAATATATCTTCAAAAAATCAATTATATGCAGTCTTGTGAGTTGCAGCAAACAATATCTCATTAGTGGGCAGTTATTTACAGCACATCTCTAGAAAGGCTTCTACCAAAGCTTTGCATCATGTAACTATATGAACTTATGTTTGTGTTTCTGTATAGTGGTGATGCTGTCTATGTGTGTCTATGCAATGTGTATTCAGGGACTGCTGTTTGGTTGTGTTGCTTTGTTCTGCATCTCATGCTTGCCTAGAGATAGGCTGGCCTGGGGCTGCCGTTGCACATACGGACCATGTGCTTCCCTGGAGAAGGTATCCCGTCCTGCATCGGGATGAAGGAGACACCGCGCCATTGCACCCACTTGGAGAGTTATGGAAAATCCCCCAGCGAACCCCGACATCACCAGAATGCCAGGAATCACGTAACCCTCTGCACCTAATCTGGTTTGGAGATCTGAAGACAATAGCATTTATGGCCTTGGAGCAGGCACCAGATCTGCAAGTCAAGAGGTGTCCATGGGAACGGAAGATTCACACCTCACCAAAAGGCACCTTTGATGTAGGGATAGGATCTGCATATTGCCACCACCCCTTAGTAGAGCGTCATCCCCTCGTCACCCCCTCTTCATCCAGTAGTGATAGTTTAGAGGACGGGTTTGATAGTTTATGGCTGGATAGCCCATGCCCCAAAAAGAGTTTATTTAAGGAGAAACTCTCCTTTGTCTCACTGGTTAACCCACCTTCCCCATAGCAGTGCACTAAGGTGCTACAAGTGACTCTACTACTTAAGTTCTCCGGGAGTCGCGACCCAGAGAGCTCACACGTGGTTTGGCTGGTCCTACCTGTGTGCCTTGGAGTTCACAAGCTGCTGCATTTCGGCTGCCCAGCGTTCCAAGGAGGAGAGTTCTTCCTCAGCTGGACCTCAGATGAGTATAGCCGTGCCCCATTGTGTCTTCCCCATTTTGATGCTTTTGTTATTTTCTATGCTGTAATTGTTCTGATGTACTATTGTAACTAAGGAGCTTGTATAACTGTGTGTGTGATTCTGATTTTGTATGACTGCAGAAACCTTTAGTAAAGACAACATTTATTCTTAATCCTAGCGTGTTGTCTCACTTCCTGGGATATAGCGAGCGTCTCATTGGCCATCTGACCTCTGTATAGACTGGTATAGAACTTACGCACAGCCACAACCACCCAATTTCCTTGGTAGATAACTTGGATTGGGTCTCCAGGAATTTCCTGGAGAAGTTGGCATAACAATCACACTTCCTTCCATTGTTACTGGCAGTTATTGAGGAAGTTCTTCGAAACAGAGTTCTCAATATCCAGATCCTTAGTTTATTTTTCCTCATACATCTTCACCTCAAGAGAGAACTTTTCTACAAGCTGACATTGTTTGATACCCCAAGAGATTACTCTTCTACTTCAGACATTGTTTATATGTGATTATACTTTGTACTGGCATTATTACTCAGCTTTTTGTGCATCAGCATCAGCGTCTTTTTTCACACAGATATCTTTCCTCTTTTGTATCCTTACACTGTGTGTTCCTCTTTTGTTGTTTAGTCCTATTGCATCAAGGCATCAATTCTTTTTATCTCATCTCATGGACAGCAAAGTCTTGAGCGGAGATTTTCACATCATCTATTATGTGTTCCTTTTATCTGGAAATGCCAAAGGCTGAACCTGGGCCCTCAAACGGCTTTGTACTGTAGCTGCCTTATACTGTCAGAGTACATCAGTATTGCTTGTCTCCACTGACTAGCAGTAGCTCTCCAGGGTCCCATCATCCTTCAGGTCACCTGCTCTCTGTTCACTTTGAACGGAGATGGGGGGGGGGGTGAATAGCTATGGTTGCCAACCCAACCTCCAGGTGGTGGCTGGAGCAGATCTAGGGTTACAACCAGTGTTCCCTCTAAGCTGAGTTAGTGTGAGCTAGCTCACAGTTTTTTAGCCTCCGGCTCACACATTTTTGTCTCAGCTCAGGAAGGACGGCTCCAGAGCAAACAAATTTATGCAGTAGCCAAATCGCTTGCTCGTAACTATAAAGCCAGTAGCTCACAAATTGAAATTTTTGCTCACAAGACTCCACAGCTTAGAGGGAACATTGGTTACAACTGATCTCCAGACAACAGATCAGTTGACCTGGATAAAATGGCAGCGTTGGAAGGTGGACTCTGTGGCATTGTACCCCACAGAAGTCCTCCTCAAATCACACCCTCCTCAGGCTCCACCCACCAAATCTCCAGGTATTTCCTAACCCGCAGCTGGCAAACCTTTATAGCAGAGGTTCTAGTACTGAGTCCTCACTCTTAGTAGCAGGGATATTTCAGGACACGGAGAGAAACGCGCACCCACCTGCACGTTATTGCTACAGGGGCCGGCTGCAAATACTAGCAAATTCTCTCCTTACAGGAACTTTCCAGCAAGGGGCGAGGCTATCTATCTAACAGAGCGTCTCTCTGGTACGAACCTGCTATGCAAACACACGTGTTGCAGAGAAAGCCCGCGGAGTCTTTCCTTCTTTCCCTCCGGCTGGGGAGACGGGTCAGCCACCGGGACTCCGCTGTGTAAACTGCGACTGTCCTCACCGGCCACTGCGTCGCAGCTCCCCCCCGCAAGTCAGCGTACGC